TGCCTGGCCCTCACTAATGCTATGTTCCTTCTCCAATACTCCCACTATCCTATCGTTCAGCAGCTTACAGAACACTTTTCCTACTGTGTTCAACAGTGTGATCCCCCTGTAGTTTCCTGGGTCAGTCTTGTCTCCTTTCTTAAACAAGTTCACAACCACTCCTTCCCTCCATCTACTTGGCGTATACAAGTTGTTTTTCCACACCGAATTGTATAGCAGTACCATCAGCTGGATCATCCCCTTCCCCCCAAACTTCATGAACTCGTTGACTATCCCATCCGCTCCTGCTGCTTTGTGGCACTTCAGCTTGTTCACACACGCCTCAACCTCGTCCTCAGTGAACTCCTTTTCTAGTTCTACGTTCCCAACGTCTGCCTTGAAGTTGGGGGAGTCCAACAAAATGTTCTCAGTCGCAGTCTAATTTCAGCCTCCGCCCCTGTGCAGGGCGGAGGCTGAAATTCTCTGGTCGCTAGTTTGTTTTTTCCACCGCAACGTAACATACCGCTCTGGCGTTTAAAACTTAAATCACCCTTATGTGCTGGTCTCCAGAGAAATTTGGGTAAATTTCAGAGTTTTAAATAACTCTAATTGTAGCATCTTTCCGAACGCGTCTCTACCAATTTTATCGCCTGTACTGCTGCAGTTGCGTAATTTTTGCATGGGTGCACTTGCGGTATGCAGCTGCACGCAGAAGGCAGAAGACAGGTAGTACCCTCACACCGCAAGAGTCCATGCTGGTAATCATCCAACCCTCCCATCGCAAGCACGGAAATAGTTTTGTTTCAACACCGCTGTTCTTTTCTCGACAACGCAACCCACGTTCTCTCTGTCCCTGCTGCGATCGACATTTTCCGTTGCGTTTTCCGAATCCAACCCCCAATCCCAATCGCAACGCCCAGCTTTGGGACCTCAAGACCGGACTCGCCCTCCAGAAGTTCCAGGGCCACACCGACGGCATAACCTTCGTCATGCCGGGCCCCGACGGCCGAGTCCTGACGGCCAGCGAGGATCGCACCCTGCGCGTTTGGGACGTGGAGACGGGCGAGTGCCTCCGCGTCATCCGCTCCCACAGCGGCGCGGTCACCTCACTCTGCCTGGCCGGGCCCGACCGCATCGTCACCGGCTCATCCGACAGGAAGCTCCGGGTGTTTGACGTCGCCGGCCATCTCCACGGCGAGACCGAGCTCGACAGCGAGATCACGGCCGTCGCGTCGCCGCCGCTGCCGCC